ACCTCTGCTAGCAGGAAAGACAATAGGAAAAGAGATAGAAAAGAAAAGAAACAACAACACGGCTGCTTTGACAACTTAACCATAAAATAAATGGAACAAAAAAAGAAACTCGTTAACTCTACTTTACTGATAGCATTTATATTGCAAATATTTCAACGAGTTAGCAATTAGTTTGCAACAGCTGCTCATGATCAATAATATGCTAAAAGTTACCTACGCTAAGAATTATTATTTATAATTTTTCAACCATTTTTGGTAAAGTTCCATTTCATTTGTAGTGGCACCCTACTCGCTCAAACGCTTCACATTTAAATTTGTCAATGTGTTCCTGAGTCCTGTGTTTTAGTTTCATGAACCAAAATCGGTTAGCAGTCTACTTGGCGACAGGTACTCTGAGTCTTCGCTGAAGCTCGTCTTCTGAAAAAGGTAAACTTCTGATCTTTCAACGGTACCGAGTTTCACTAATAACTTATGACATTCTATTGGTATCATTATCTATATATATAAAAAAGTGCAAAAAGTCAACTTTTTAGTAAAATATACACAGCATTCGAGGAGTTGACACCGGATCTTTTCTTGGCAAATATAATGTTACAGAGGACAAAGGGATTCATCAATTCGAAAACATCAAAGGTTACCGTCGAAAATCGCGTAACATTCCGTGATATGGTTAATAACAATGTAGTGAAATTTTTTTGATACCCACCACCCCACTTACTGCCCTTGGAGGTAATCCAAAGCTGAGGACGAATTTGAAAATATAACGTACAATAAGCGATCACGTTTTTCAAGCTAAATAATATTTTCTTAGTTTTCACTCATGACCAAATTGGACTTTATATGAGAAGATACACTGGAGTCAATGTCACTTTTTTGCTCCTGAAAAAACGAGACTTTTAAAAAAAAAAAAAAAATAGCGTACCACATCATCATTACATCTATATTACGGCTGATGTAAAGGTCATAACCCATTCATAAAAAGTCTACTGAAGATTCCTCAGTCTTTTCTAAGTCCAAACATCATAAATAATATATGGAAGCTTTGGTCAATAGATCGACCAGGCCGTTTAATCCTGATTACTACCTCTTGGTTTATATAATTTCGTAAGAAGTTATGGGTGTGCTTATATCCCGGGTCTATTAGTAAGTAACACGGAATAAAAAAAAGGTCTTAACAGGCTGGTCACTCCAAGAAGAGACTCAAACGCGTACGTCAACTGCTTCTGGATCATTAATAATAATAAAAACAAGATTAATAAAGATACATATAGATGGACCCATTAACTGGAAGGGAGGGAGGAGGACTTAAAACCAGAAAGCTTCTATTCAAAAAGTTTAATTTTGGTAAAAGACTCAGAATTGTTGTTTGCCACCATGTTTCTTTGTTAACTTGTTCTTAAGATGATGCTTTTCTGAGAAAAGCCCAAATAAACTTACACTTTGCATCCAGTTGTAATGAATGTTACAACTTTGTTTTCTAATGTTACCTTACAGAATTAAATAGGAATTACGCTTCACAATAGCGGTTTGTAATAAATGTTGCTGTTGTTGTTTCGTTATGGAAATAGCGCTCACTATTAAATTGGGATTTCTACGATAGAACACACAGATTATGAAGCATTATCGTACAAGATACGAAGACTGGCATAATTTATTGAGTGTGTTATTTAAGCAAACTATAGATTATAGATGCAAGTTACACAGGCTAATTTCCTACCCTATAAAACATATTACTAGACAATTCCTTCAATACGACAAAGAAGTCTTACCACGCCAGAAACATCTTTTTCCTAGCGGGTCGTCCAAGTTTCCGAAAATAATATCATCAAAGAACGTGCCCCTATTGTGCAACGGAATTAATTATGTACTATATTTGTTTTTTAAAAAAGCAAGCGATTTTCCGACGATGAAGCGTCTATTGTAATTTATTTTTACCATGGCCGACAATTCCAGTGGCGCCCGCGTAGACAATGATCAGGGAGATTGGCCTAGTTATTGGCTTACTTTGTTTTTCCAAAAGAAGCAATTATACTCTTTTTGTCAAGTTTCCTATAGCGACAGCTTGCGAATAACTGTGAAGTAAATTGTCGTCTGTTGCGATACATTTTTTACAGAAAACAAAGTCATTAGCAGAAGGATTATCAAAGACAGAAATCTTGTATCAACCAAGGTCCTACTCTAAGGTTTGTTGGACTCGCTTTTGTTTCACTTAATTTTTTTTTGTTTTTGAGAATCTTCTTTACAAAACTCCTTACATCTTTCTTGCTTTTAGCGTGAAGACTTGTTGATAAACGTTTTAAAATGAGGACCCTTACCGTTAAAAAGATTGGACGTGAGTCTTAAAAAGGAAAAATTAAAACCTCAAAGATTTCGCTTGTATATAACCAAGAAAATCAGCGATATCGCCTCTTTGAATCAGTTAAGAAATATATAGCATAAATATACTTTTTTTGTACAGTAATTGATGGATTTAATATGTAATAAATTGTGTCTAATTTTTCAATGAGTACTGTATTCAAACTTTCCTTTTCTTCATACATAACTACAAGTGATTCGACTAACAACGTACAAGCTGTCAGAAATTTCAAAAAATTTAAGACTGAGGAGTCTCTTATGATTCAAATTTTATTTCAAGGAAAGAAACACACCATACATTTCAGGACGAATTTGCAAGATGTTACTTTTTTGTTTCGCTTAAAAAATTACAAAATGCTAGTAATGTCTTAATTAAACATGTTCGGTTTGATAAAGCATCACTCGCAAAAAGAATGCGTATAAGATTTTCACCGTTAAAAAAATTAATCTCGTCTACCATGAGTTTTGAACCACTTGAAAACTACAGTTACATCGAAGTATTTTATTTCAACAGATTTCTTCTAGAAACTGATGCAATGAATGTCTGAACAAATGATTCCTGGAATTAATTCCTTTCAACCTCATTCCGGAATACGGACAATTGAACAAACTCTAATTAAAAGTAGACATTACTTTCGACCTAGAATTTGTTTTAAAGAACTCCGAGGTAAAGTTTCTCGTATTTTGATTTGTGAAAATTTTCATATTTTATTTTTCTCTAGAGTAAATTTTCACTTGATCGTTTTTCGTTGAAATTTTTTATTGTCAACTTAAGGTAAGAGGAAATGTTTCCATAAAATCCCTTATATATCTTGCTTTTAGGAAACTCTTATTTCATTAATTTGTTTGGAATTATTTTTCAATTTTTTAAATTTCTATGAACTCATGCATGCAAGATTCATTGTAAAGCAGCTCAAACTGTTGTTCTGGAAAATTCTGTAATACGTATAGGACCACAAGTTCGACAGCGGCGGTCGTTAACATTTTCTTCAATTACTAAGTGTATAAAAACAAATAATTTATCTTAACGAACTGAGCAGAACTAAGCTCAGGTGAGGTCATGGCTATATTACGTCCTATGGTATTGAAATTTATAAATTGAGTCCAATGTTTCAGATTTTGAGCGCATTTAACTGACTATTGTAGCCAAACATCAACAAAACAGGTGAAAAATATTTTACAAGATATCTTGAAAACATCAACAGCGAAACAGGTCAAAAATATTTTACTTAAGATGCCTTGATGAACAATATTTTCTTTACCTGCGCGGTTCGGTTGACGTGCGTCGCTCAAAAACGTTGTTGCTTTGATTTTACGCGGCCTTGTTCAATTGGATCATCTGAAACTGTAAATACTGACAAAAACATCTAAATTAAGGTTTGAGTTCGCTCTTCTGTGATAGAAAACTTAGTAACACATGTTTCTGAAATGTTTCGCGGAAGCTGATATCTACGATCAGTAAAGAGGCGTTATTCTTACTATACTGTGAATTGCTTGCTAAGGTTTTGCTTAGTTTTAAACACAAAACCGTTGTAACCACCCAAAAAAATGAACGAACAAAAATGAACGAACAAATTTTTCCGTAAGATCATCGAGGGTTACGGGCTGCCAACTTGTAATAGGGGCGGGGCGGATAGGAGGAAGCGAGGAGGAGGAGGAGGAAGCCACCTCCCCTCCCCCCCACCTCCCAAATCTATAATCCCCGACGCCAGCCCCCTCGGTACATTTGAAAATCAAGATACCCGTGACGGTAAGACGTGGTATATCTAAACGATCTCACGAAAAAATAGGGGACTGCGAACAGTCTATAGTAGTAGTGATTAGGATTTCCTACCACCTCACAATTGTGGTACTTTCACTTTGTCTTTCGAGTTACTTTCGGCTATTAAAAATACAATAATTTTATTATTTCAGCTGTAAAGAACTTTTTTGTGAGAAACCTGTTTTCGGATTGTGAAAAACACAAAATTCTCAAAAGATATCATAGAGACCGATGAAAATACGATAAATTAAAGCTACAACACGGAAGTTATAAGGAAAAGACGCGGTAGCTAAGAAAAAAATACGATCTTCCGACGATGCTGATGAAGTAGATTTTACATGTAATGTTGTTTTTGCGTAGTTACTCAATAATTATGAAGGCATAATTTAGAAGTGACCACTATAAATGATTTATTTTTTTCAATGTTATTATTGTTTAAAAAGTGATGATTTGGCTCGGGTAAAGGCGCACCTGACGCATGAGTAACATAGCTCATAGGGACAAAACACGTCCCAGAATCCAAAACCTTTTTGGATTCTGGGAACTGTATTTTGGATTCTTGGATGGACGTGTTTTGGATACTTGAAAGTGTTTTTGGATTCTGGGAAGTGTTTTGTCCCAACGAACCACCGTACATGAGGCCCATACTGCGGCCCAGCCTCGTACCCAGGGCTTCCCCCGCACCCCTCCCATTTTTTTTTTTTTTCAGAGAAAAGCCCTGAGAACGAGGTCGACGGCAGTCGGCGCTCATCTCCGGTTTCACCTTCCTGCTGCGTAAAATAAAAAGCGGAGAGAGGAAGGGGGTCTTCTCTTTTTAAACACCGGCTTATCTTCTAGAGGTAATACACACTAAGAATACCTGTTTTCTTGCTTCTTTTTGCAGATGAATAAATATTTTCTGCTTAGTATCCTGGCCTGCCTTATATTCCTGGCCTCTTCTGCACCTGCGCCAGCGGACGGAGAACTAGTTCGACAGCGTCGTTCTCCTTGTGGTGCCAGCTGTGGTATTTATAAGGCCGTAAGTTTTGGTAGCAGAGGTAGAAAGAAACCTTGGGGTTTCCGGAGAGTTGGCAGCAAGTTCCATTACAACCGCTTCAGACATGCCAAAAGGTAGGGGGCATTATTGCCATAAGTTAACTATCCTCTAGAACCCAGGGGCAGTGAGTTGGGTAGGGAAAAAAGGAGCCACGAAAGTTTTCAAGAATGTTCTTGGGCCAAATTTTTTTCTGTGACGTCATTCAAAATGGCCTCCATCCGGCTTAAATTTTACTGAATAATAAAGATTCATTATCTACGTAAACAATTTAGGAGTTATAACTATAAGCTTTTTTATTCATAACAAATTAGCGAACAACACCCATCAATGTTCGACATCACATTTCGTTTCTATAGGAACCCACTGTCACGAAAGTTTGCAGTAAATGGTTAGCCACTGAAAAGAAGAGGTTCTGTTACGCTAAGTTTTCCAATTTTTAAAGAGCTTCAATAATAGCAGTTTAAGCTTTCAATGAAAAAGAAAAGTATATTGTACGTAGATGCTTTAAAGATGTGGAAAAGGGGGAAAACACAGTCACTCAGGAGCTCATTAGGGTAATAAGCTCCTGAGACACTGTATGAAATGTAGTTTGAAGGTCATAATCAATGCATGGGCAAAAGACTAGATGCGGCTATATTAGTCAACGTCGACATAACTAAATGCAGTCTTTTTTGCTTTTCAGACAAGAGGATCAAAGTTTATATGATAACTACATGCATAAGGACTTGGATCTTCTCAAGGAGGAGCGATGAGAAAGTTCGAGCACGACAGAACGCACAGCTTTCATTTTGATATAGGAGCAATGTTTTCGAGCATTTTTCACGGGCAGTATCACGAAGAATTTCTTCCAGATTTCGTGTAAAAACTAAGCTAGATTTGGTCGCATTTGCCACTACCAAAACCCTTCAAGTTTTGCTTTCATCTGCAGATTAAAACTTGCCTGGATTACCATAAAAGGAAAAACGAAAAGGATTCTGGTCGTGGTTGTGAAATGACGTCATCGTATAAAAAGGGATTTTTTAAAGACACACTCAGCCGATACACAGTATGGCCTTTGAACACCCCCCCCCCCCCAAAAAAAAAAATAATAATAATAATAATTTTATCGTGTACGTATATAATAATCAATGGATTTTGAGAGATTTTTCCCAAATTACACTGTCAAAAGCATCTCAGCCAAACCTCTTCAAGTCTTATTCAGTTACTTTCCTGCAAATTCTCTAAGCAAAGACAATTTTTAACACTCAATTCAACAACACCATAGAATGGGTTTTCAAGAAGCATTTTAGAATTCTTGGTGATACTGCCCCTTTCAAAACATGTTTAAGTCAGATTCACTACACTTATATAGCACATTATAAACCGATTTAATTCATTTTGAGCACAATTTTAGCTGTACAAAAGCGACAAATTAATATAAACTACTGATGCGTCTTGGTGTGCCCTTTTTTTCCTTGGCTGATCAAAAAGAAAATTTAAATGTGCAAGAAACTTCACACAAAAGTTGCCTGGTGTCGTTAAATTTTTTATTATGCCGCTCCTCCATTTGGTTTTGTGACGTGATCTGCTTGCTGCGATCATGTTGCCGTTGAAAGAACGTTGATTCAAGGCAATAATGTCCACCACGAAATTATGTCAGAAATAATTCACAAGGGCAGTATGCGGTAATGCGAAGATAGCTGCATTTTATTTTTTTCAATTTTTTCAACACAGTTCACATATTGAATATTGGAGAAATGAATGTACATGAAATTATGGCACTCAGGCCGCAGACCAGTCAAAAATAAATCTACGTGGGTCGATTCAAAAATCTAAATATTTAAACTGTAAGATAGATTACTTTTTCCTTCTCTCATCTTTAATTTCCTCTTTCTATGCGTTGGTGTAGCAAAATGCCAATATCGCTTGTAAAGCTTCCCATACTGCACATTCTCACGCTTTCGCCCTCGACATGTGCAGATAAAAGAGAACTGAATATGTGGCGTTCTAGTCCAGCCGGGATATCAAATTATAGAATTCTGCTTTTAAAAATGTGTAGACATTTGCAATTGTCCAATGCTAAACGATGATATCGGCGAATCACGTGCAAGGCAAAGTGGACATTCTAGGACGGACCAAACATGGCCAAACAAAATATTATGTTCACTATGATTTTTTTACAACCGTTTAATAAAGAGGAAAAACTTCCATGTGATTATCTTAAAAGAGGCTATGAACAAGAACACAGCTCAACACTGTGCACACAACGTTTTTGTTTTCCCTTCCAATAGAGAATATCCAAAGATCGTTTCTCGATCGAGGATATCTTTCGAAAGACCCCAATCGATGCCAAATCTCGTACAAGATCAATAATGACCATAATCAAAAACTAAAGGACAGAATTTATCGACTTGCAGCTCTCTTCTCATATATTGGACCAGCGTGTTAACCTAACGTTTCCTGTCACTAAAATGTTCCGCTAAGTAATGCAAACAGATTCTGTTAACGGCCTTGGCTTACGGCTTTGACGCAGCTCGTTCCTATTCAGACACTAGTTAATAAATTTTGCCTTGCATTTGCTCAGTTACGGTGCACAGGTCAGGAGCGTAATTTTCGAGTCGAGATACGCACAATTTCCCAAATCAATCCTAACCCGTCTCCTAAGTCGTTTTTACGAGGGTGACTGTATTACATTCCCTTTTTTTATCATCACTGTTTTATCGGTATGATGAAAACCGTGTTCTCCAGGCAGCAGCATTCGCGGCTAAGCGGGAAAACACAGCATTTATCGAAAACAATTATCTGAAAGAGGTTAGAGGGGACTTATAAATTAGGTAAATGGGTATTTTTCTCATCTCTTTTTTATTTACCTTCCTTCCTCTAGTTTCTTCTCTATTTGGTTTTGTTCTGTTTACTGGGCGTAAAGGTATACGCCCCTGCAAATGACGTCAAAACGTGGTAAGAACTCGAAAGATCATATGGCACTGAGCGAGTCGCACGCCAAACCTCAGGCGTGTAGCTCACTGTAAGAGTTGTTCTTTTCCCAAAAAGCAGTCGTACTACAATTTGAAAGTCGGTCTCTCATTTGATTTGACAGACCCTCAGGGAAAAAGTACTGTTTTATGCAAAAATTAATAGAAAAGAAAGCATAAACTATGACACTAACTTTGTAGCCCTCAACGGCTCGAAGAGTGACTTAAACTACATTTCGTCTGGTTCTCTTCTTTATCTTCCATGAAAACAGCTGTCTGTTAAACGTTATTTGAAGCCTTTCAAAAGTATGAGTCACTGTTGTTAGAGAAAACGCGGAAATATTTTTCTATGTCATCAGCCGTACATTCTAGACAGCTCATAAATTAAAACGCACATGGAAGTGTACAGTCAGACATAAAAAGCGTATCACCCTATTGAAGCATTTATTTTCCAATAACACTCGTTTAGCACTTCGATAATGCATACATAAGTGTCTACGAGTTGGAACTCCAATGCTTTAAACTTTTTGTTAGTGCTGATTTAGCTAGATGTTCAACAAAATTACCACATGTTTTGATGCTAATTCACAGCGCCTACTTATTTACCTGTTAATTAATAAGTTTCTGGCTTTACGATCTGTATTCGTGCCTTCAAGTTTATTGGAACAGCTGAGAGCTTTTTTCGTAAGGTGTGTTTACATAGTTTCTAAGAGGTAAATCTGATACAAATATTTCGTCAACTCTCTTAGAGACCTTTGTCTGATATGTCCATTACTCTGTAACAAAGTTTTCACATGTTCTTGAGTGAAGAACCAGTTCAGTCTGACTCCTGAATGTTAAATGGTATGTGATCATTTAATCCTAATTTACCATTTTAGTGACGCATAGTTTTGTGTTTTACGTAACATAAGAGTCTTTCTTGGCTCGGGTACTTTGATAGGCGCAAATTTTCAGGCATTTGTAGTTGCATAAATCGAAAACAAAACAAATCTAATATTTGCAGTGGGTTTTATTACGAGCCATGCTAAACTTAAGTTTCTACAATTCCAGTTCTAGTCAGACTGGATTATTTCTTTCTTCGATCGTCAAATTGTTAAGCGCAATTGAGTAACGGGAAACTGGCCTACAGAAGGTACTAGTGCGTGCGCATGCTTGACTTCCCAATTTAAGAAAAAAGGCTGAAAGCGAAAGCTGTAGGAGCACGTTCAAACGACTTAAGCTCGTCTCGCCATGTTGTAAAAAGTACTTGTCTCGGTGTCCCGATGTTAATCGATAGCTTGTCGGGCCAAGCACCACTGACAGCTCCCTTCAAAACTCTTTCATATGGACAGTTTACAGGAGAAAAACGAGATAAATCAATTTTTTTATTAAAAAACGTTTCTCTCGTTCCATAGAATAGCATTCGAGCTGTTAGTAATAAGAGTTTTAGAATCCGAAGGAGACTGCAAATCATAACTGTTGTTCTGTCTTCTCACTGGCTGAGACGCTACAGTTAATTTTGAAAAAAGCGCAGCCTACAGATTATTCAGTTCGGCTGTTACCAGATAACCTAGTAATTCGTAGTAGTTTGAGCGCTAGACCGCGAGTGGTCGTCCCTCTTTGCTCAGAGCCACGCGCGGTCACCCTAGGGAGTTTAAGCAACGACTTTTTTTGAGCGACGCAGGTCGGTCGTTAATCGGAAACGGACTTTTTGCAATTTGGGCGTTGATTTTGAACAAATGTTTCAGCCGATTTTCTCTATGAAAGTAAAAACAATTAGCAATTCAAATCTGGTATATAGCATCAAGGCATTTGGAAAGGTTGACGTGCGTCGGTCAAAAACGTCGTTGCTTAAACTGATAAGAGACTGCTAGCAGTCTGGTTGCGCTCCCAATGCATAATTTGCAAGAGCAATGTCAAAATTTGTTTCATGTGACGGTGAGTTTGTCCTTAATTTCAGCTTCAAAATTAGATCTTACCGACATTCTCCAAATATGTGGTATGCGCGGAATAAAGTCAGAACGAAAAAATATTTTGAATGAATAGTAATTCTTGTCGTTGTTGGAAATATCTAAATAATAATAGTAATAATAATAATAAACTTTATTCAAGTGCTGTGTAAGTTTAGCATGGTGTTGCTAATTGGGAACACCGTAACATAAATAGCAGAAAACAACTAACATATAGATACTATAAGTAATAGAAAAATAGAGTTATGTGTATATGCACAATGTTAAAAAATTGTAGGATTATAGTTTAAGAATGACATAGAAAAAACAGTTGGACATTTCTCGAGCAAAAAACTCCAGGTCCATTTTCTTAATTTGTTTTTTAAAACTGTTCAAGTCACCTTGTGTCCGTGCATTTCCCTGTAATTTGCGCCATAATATAAGGCCTATCTGACAGAATGTTTTCCATAGGTTACTGTATTATATCTCGGTATAACAAAGTCTGACGTACGTAAATTATAGTTAGTTTCCATTGTTTGGAATAATTCAGAATGTCCCCACTCGGTTTATCTGGGGGATGTCTAAAACGTGTGTAATTCCGGATCAGTATAAGACTCTGGTATACTTCCCACCCACTAACCCTCCCTTAACCCAACTACGACATTTTCGCTAAAACCAGTAGTAGATAGAATAACGACGGCTGTTGCCTTTTCCCGCCAAAATGACGCTTGTTCACTGGCGCGCACTACTTATTGTTGCAATGGAGAAACTCTCGTCAGAGTAGTTCTCGTAGTCGACCTCGTCTTAAAATCTAAAAATCTCTATGAGTAAACGCATTAGATCCATTTGAAAATACTGGGTTTTTTTATAATT